TTACAGGTGCTGTTGTCAGTAGGTTTTTCCTGTACATTAGCAGGTGCAGTACAAGCTTTCATCTGTCTGACACGACGTAACTGTATCGTCAGTGTTGTCTTATACATTAAAGTGGAACAAGTACGCTCAAAACCACTTAACAGGAAGTCCTTCAGCGCAGAGTAACTGAGTCTGTTTTTACCAGCCCCTCTTTCCTTCAGTGCTTCCTGATTAAAAACATGCATTACGTTATCGAAACAGAAAGTATATTTCTGTTACGTCGCCATTTTGAGCGAAGCAGGGCAGATGCAGTCGGGTACAAGTAGAGAGAGAATAAACTTACTCCTGCATTAAAAACACACTGAAGTGTGGTAATTGCGGAAGGTTCTTGGGGGAGAGAGCAAGAGGCTTTATCAGAATTCAGACTTCAGACCACTGGGTGTAGAGTCTGATAGCCTGAAAACATTTGAGAGTAAATTGTAGCAGCAGAAGGACTTCAGGGGAAACTTCACACCAGCCTAGGTGAGTCTCTCAGGAATAAATGTGTCAGAGTGCGCACTGTTTCACCTCTCTTCTATACTGGTAAAGCACTGTCCAGCGTTACTTTCTGAAACTGATCCTTGTCCGCAGCCGAGTGCAGGACTCCTGCGCTAAACACGGAGCTGTTGAGATGGTTCCCAGCGCATTCAGGTTTAAAATGGCGGAGAGCGGAACTGCTGACTGTGGTGGATAAGATGGCTTCAGTGTTTTTATACACAGAAAGCATTTTCTTCAGTGCCTTGCAAATTTACCGAGAGCCTTGATGTTTCCACATTTTGTTGTTTTCATGCTCATTGGTCAAAATACTATGAAGTGAAAAAGAAGTAGAAAATTAATATCATAAGAAAAATCAAAGTCGTGATTGCATAAGTTTTCAAACCCTAAATTCATCTGGGTGCACAAATTTACTAAACTGAGCTGCAGTAATAGTTGAGTGGCCTCTATGTGCAATGATAGTCTTTCACATGATTTCAGAAATAAATACCTTTGTCTCTGTAAGGTCCCTCAGTCAGGCAGTGAATATAAAGAAAAGATTCAATCCTGGAGACTAAGAAGCTTTCAGAACAGCTCAGGGACACAGGTGTAGAAAGATACAGACAGGCTGCACATGGCCCTGTGGAACAGCACTGCCTGCATCTACCCAGTCACAGGCTGTTTCCTGTTCTCAGTCCATGTGCAGACATCACCTTGCATTCCTCTTCATTCAGTTAGGAACTGTATGGAAAACAGTTTCCACACACTTCTTGGAATCAGAGTCTTTCATACAGTATGGTCATAAATACATTAGACTTGTAGTTTTTTTCAATCCGATTGTAGGAATGAGAGAAAAACACAATTCATCAGAATTTATTATGTCGTCCATTGCTCAGAAGGGAAGATTTCGTGCTCATTACACCAAGTGATGTGTTGCTGTGCATTGTCCTTGATTACAAGGGGATTCTGAAAGGCAGCACAACTATGAATATCAGCTTTGTGCAGCTCGTGATGTGCAGTATGTGGTGACACTGAGTCACTGGGCTGTAGATTTTGTTCTGTGGTAATTTGAGGCCTTTGTTTTGTTGTTTTTAATAACTACTCT